CAGAATCAAGATCACAACTCAAGAACAAAGAGATGTTGGTAAAGAATTACTAGTAATCCAATTAATGAGCATTGTATCTAACATTCTTAATTATTAGGGAATTATGCAGAGAATCCAAATAATTAGATCTCTAAAATTGGATTTGAGAAATATCCAATCAACTGTCTGTGCCAAATTTTTGTAGGCCAGCACTAGTCATTCAAGGATTGACAAGCTGTTTGACAAGAAAATAATTAGGTGGAATAACTGAGGATTTTGAACCTCCAAATCATATACCCATCATATATGCTTAAGTGTTATTGTAGCTCTTTACCCTTAAAGTGCAGAAAACAATTCAATAGGACAAAAAAACATTATATAAATAGATTGCCTAAATCACGTGTCCTTGCAAAGAAGGCTAAACTTTCACTTTTCACCATAGGAAAGAGCGTCTAGCCTTGCATGTATAAGTAAACAATGTTCGGAGGGTCAAGGGTGTCAGAAAAATCAACTTTGAACAAACTACAATGACCCCAATTTATTCTTCTGAGCACTTATCAAAAAAAAAAAAAAAACTTCTGAGCCAACATTAGTAGACTTCTCAGCTATTTTGATTTTTGACACAACAGCATGTTCAAAATGAAATGAAATCTTTCCATTCTAGTTTGACATAATGGCAAGATAAGCATATAAACAACATAGGAAAGAGTTATAAAGTGACTTTGGGAGCTTAATTCCTGTTTTTCTTTTATGTTTAGGCTGTTTTTGGATTGGGGTACAAACAGAGACGGGTGGATGGAAAATGATTATATGATTCATGAACACTTTTTCTTAGTTTAGATTCATTTAGGCTATGTTTGGTTTGAAGGAAAAGGTAGGGAAAGGAAGGTAAAGACAGGAAAACCAATACAAGGTTTGTATAGGTTTCCCTACCTTTCCCTACATTTTCCTTCAAACCAAACATAGCCTTAGAAAAGGATGGAAGAGGAAATTTGTGTTTCTGTTCCAATTTTTAAGCGAGGAAGCCTGAAGAAAACATGAAAGACCTGAACAAAGAAGCTCTCTCCCTCTTTATCTCTACCCCCCCCCCCCCATGGCAGGAACATCTCTAGTTTATCTGTCCATGAGAATGGAAATGACGCAGTCATCTACAAGTCCAGGGAAACAGAGAAATGAGAACATCTGTGAGTCTGCCTCCTCTAACATTCGTGAGATTCTCTAGGCTTTTCATTTTAGATTTCTTTTCATAAAATTTACCAAAGCCCTTTCTACATAGATGCTCTTTTCTTAAAGGATTGAAGAAATCTTTTTCTCTGTAGTTTTACAAGTGAATGGCATATTTTGAGTTTGGARTTCTAGAGAAATTTTGATTGTTGAACATTACCATGGTCCATGGCTGACTGGTTTTTGACACAAAATGTATTTGAAACTTACAATTTCTTTAATGACACTGGCTATTTAGTCTCTACATAATGTAACAAGCAATGCCAAAATGGGACTATCGCCAGCACATATCAATTGAAGAAGCATTCAAGCAGAGGGTTTTTAGGCACTTTAGCTCTTTACGAGAACTGATCAGGAGTTTATCCCACATTTATGTTCATCCATGCATCTATATTTCTGTATCCTTTTGCTCAAAAATGGAGCTTAATTTATGCAAAAAACTTGAATTCCGATAACCGGTACTTCATCATATAACCTTTGATTCCTGATAATTTAACTTTTTCGGTTACGCTAGAGAAAATGCATAGCGAAAAAGAGAGGTTCATTATTGATAAAAAAAAAGAGAGGTTCAGTCTTACCTTCAGTTTAGAAACTAGATTGCATCTTCAAGAGAGGAAAATATCAATCTTAGTAGCAGAACACAAAGCATAAGAACTAAAKCACGTTTAGAATAAGCGGCTCCACCATGAAATCATCAAAATCTTAGCTCATAAAACCTCACCGAGCATCAGCTCAACAGGAAGACATTTTTAAATCAACTGAGACACCAATTAGCATTCCGCCCAACCATTTCTTGACGATCAAAAAATGCAGATAGAACTCAACTCTGGACTCCTGATAGGATGCGATCGATTGCTAAACGGGCAAATCTATCTATCTACGGTTTCACGCAATCACGCTCTCCTCGATCAAATTTTTTGTTTCCAATAATTACCCAATTACCCCTGTCAATTCATTAATACCTTACGCTGCGTTTGGTTGCAATGCAAATAAAGTTGCACTGATGCAAAACCATGACAGTGCAAATGATTTGAGTGTAAATTCTGACTTATTTTTGTTTCAAATTTTAATTTATTTTGTTTGATTGCAGTACAAATGAAGTAAATTAAGACATGAAATGAGGATAAAGTAAAATCTAAAACAAAATTAAACAAGAATTTGCATTTTTTACATTTGTACTTCCATGCATTTGTACCAGTGCAAATAAATTTGCACTATAACCAAACACAGCCTTATTTGCAAAATTTTGAATAGGGGGGCAAGCCGTGCAATCGAGTCGACTTGGTTCGACTAAAATTGGTTTACGAGAATAGGGGTCTTGAATCGGAATTGGAATGCGATTCCAACTGTTTGGTTAAGTGGAATCAGAATCTTATTCCCGTTCCTACTGGAATGGCATTCCCCCATTTGAGGGAATGGCTATTCCCCACCCCTCCCTTGGGAACGAATCTCATTCCTGCTGATTCTAATTTCTATTCTTATTCCTATTTGAACCAAGCAGACCATGGGAATAGATCATTCTGATTCCAACTCTGGCTATGAACCAAATGGACCCTTAATGAATTTAGTTCCATTTCAAATTATATATATATATATATGTATGTATGTATGTATGTATGTATGTATGTATGTATGTATGTTAATCGGGCTTAGCTCACAATCTTTTGAATCAAACTTGTTACTGATCAAGCTCAAATTTGAATAATTAATTGAACTTGCCTTGAGATTTGAATTCAATTCGAACTCGAGTTTTAACTATTCGATTATAGCACGATTCTATTGCAACGCTATTTGAAAGTGTGGTGCTCCTATGTTTTTCCCACTTCCTTTCCTTCATTCCCATATGCTGTGCTCTTCACTCAAACCCTTAATCGGGAGATGTTCCCAATGTGTGGTTGCAATGTGCTACATAATTGGTTTGGGGAGAACACTATAGGGAATAGATCCAGACTCTCACTCTATGAGCACTATTACACATGGATTATTTGCATCCACACATCATAGAGTCCGGATTGGCTCTCCACAGAAGCATCCCTAGCACATCCCATAGAATGCATCTCGTATGTGCCCCCACAACATGTGCCCTATACCTACAACATTCTTTGTAAGCAAAAACTTTGTACACACTATGAAAATATGAGAATCCTRCCATACATTGGGAACAACTCCCCATGAATTAAACATAAATGTACAAAGATATTCTCAATGAGCCTAGATCTTTAGTAAACAAAACTCTGTGGACCTATCATCCAACTGCACATTGTGCACCTATACTTGTAGAATGTGTTCCCAATGTTTGGCATGATGAGATTTTGCTTGCAAAGAATCCCATTGTGTGTCTCCAAATTAGTTGAGGCTTGTAAAACCCTATCACTTTGGAACCAATGTTTTAAAAATAAACCTTGAATCRAAACCGTTTTGGCCATCGATTTTTGGGCCAATACTTTGATCATTCAATCCAAATAAATGATCCATTGCAATTTAAAAAATAAATAAAAAATAGCCAAAAACCATTATTCAAGTCAATAATTCAACTAATGATTTTTTACAAAGGAATGGTTCAGGAGTGAAATAACCAGCTGGATAGCCTCTGAGCCGAATAGTCCAACGGTCCAATTTACATTTGAAAACAATGTCTAGAATTGTAAACGAATTGAGAATATTCCATATACAGGGATTCACCGGTCTATTGGTTTAAATCCAACAAAAACCCACATCGATTCTTCACAAATAACCATACTCATTTGTGAATCACCATAAAAAATATAAAAATAAATATTAATTAATGGGGGCTGATACATTTATTAGGCATGCGAATACAAGTTTGTTCCGAAAACTAGTGGGCTTGGCAGCTTCAAACGAGGCCGGGTCTTGATGGCAATTTTCAGTTTAAACTAAGAGCTATTTGAGGCTTCAAATGGATGACAATTTACCCTACTCTGGGTATCCACCCTATCCAACCCGATAGGGCAGTTTTTTTTTTTTTTCGCTTAAAGGACAGGTTTTAGGGTGGGGATGAATTTTGGGATTCTACAATCCGTACAAGTATGATCCTTCTTGACCGGGTTGACCCACATATTGTTAGACAACATATAAACTTTATTATTATGTGTTGAATTTAATAATCTTTTGATTTTTATGTGAAGAATAATTGATAGTATATGCTTTTTATATGTCTTAATCAAATAATTTAAAATTTTGTTATTTGTGTTATTTTACTTATTTGTTGCTTATATATAGCAGAAAACAATACAGAATTAGATGCCAGTTCTAAACCCAACCCACCCCTATCTTTGAATGCGGGGAKGATAGGGTCAGGGAGCATTTTCATGTCCAGGGAGGGTTTGGATTTTCAAAATCTAACCCACTACAGGTTTTGGGACGGGTATGAGTTGAGACATTCAAGAGGTGGATAGGGTTTAGAATTTACAAAACCCTCCCTGAACCCGCCCGTTATCATCCCTATTCAAACAAGGCCAGAACATATAACCCCTCCAAAAGACCTAGATAAAGAGAACTTGTAATGGCCTTTTTGATTGATAACTACCAATGGAATCAATCTTTACAATATAATGCCGATACTTGCCTATTATAGCATCTTTCTCTACAATCTACATCAAGGTTTTAAATTGGGTTTCTAGCATATAAGGGTAACTTTTGGGGTTTAATATCAATAAAAGTAATATATTTAAAAAAATTTCAAAAATAGGTTAACTTTTTAAAAATAATATCAATAAAGGGCAAAAACACTGTTCATTTTCTTCTTCCCATTTGTTCACCAGAGCCTCCGCCCACCTCCGCCTCTACCTTCAGCAACGTTGCCGGAGATGGGCGGAGGCAGAGGTGGCGGTGGCAATGGGCAAAGGAATGACCACCAATGCCGCCACCGCCACCTCTGCCTCCGGCCACCTTTGGCAACGTTGCCGAAGGCAGAGGCGGAGGTGGGCGGAGACGGCAACGGGCGGTAGCGGATGGCGGCTCTAGTGAACAAATGGGAAGAAGAAGAAGATGAACAGTGTTTTTGCCCTTTATTGATATTATTTTTAAAAAGTTAACCTATTTTTGAAATTTTTTTAAATATATTATTTTTATTGATATTAAACCCCAAAAGTTGCCCTTATATGCTATTACCCCTTTTAAATTTCATAACGTATCGTTTCGGAAGAGTTCTGATACACAAAACATGTATAATTACATGGTTCCGTATCCAATACGAATCCATATCGGCCTTGTATCAGACCGTTTTGGGTGTGTATCGACCGATACAACCCGAAACGCGTTTACATACCCAAAACGGGCCGATACACATCACTAAATGCTAATATAATTTAATTAAATGTTTATTTAAGTTACCTTTGATTAGAGCATTTAATATGTCATTAAATGTTATTTAAGTGAAATAATTTGTTAAAAATCACAAACCAAAGGTAACAAGTTTAGAACCCAAGTCACTTGCTTATAACAATAATTAATTAACCACTATGCCAACCTTAATTACTTATTAGAATGACGTGTTTTTTATACTTAAAGTAATCTTTCTTGCCTTCGCGGATGTTTCCCAACAAATGCTATAAATTTGATTATTAATATTTATATAATAATAAGATGAATACAAGTTATATTTATTTATTAAAAATTAAGATATATATTAATGTGTATACATAATAAATATTATCTAAATCTATATATAATAAATATTAACTAATAAATGATTTCAAATAAATATTAGTATATATACACACATTTTAGTTCTTCTATTATTTTTCAATGGTTACTAATTATATACCAATACTTTATATAAATCATTAAAGGATGGTTTTTATGTTTAAATAAATTAGTTATACACATAAAACTCATTTTTGTTATTGTTCATATTTTTAAGATTTTTTTTTTTGGATTTTCTAATGTATCCATGCGTATCTTGATTTTTCGTCCCTATCTATACATTTCCAAAGCATATCTTGATAATATCTCTTAAAATTACCTTTTTGATACATCTTACGTTTCTAAGAAACACTTTGAACCTTGATCTACATCTCTCTCACCCTGTTCCTATACAAAGAAARTTTCTGATGGACAGCCAAAATCAAGGGTGAATAAGTGATATACTTTCAAGGCTAAATCACGGAAAGCAAATTGAAAACACGAAGCAGAACAAGAAAAAAAAATTGAAATTTATACACAACGAACCCTGTAGTTTATACATTGTGGTTCGTGGAACCTAGTAATTTATCTTCCTGCCTTGGTGTGCCACTCRTGGAGAACTACATGCCCAACTTCATCTTATTCCACTCATTCTCTACACGGAAAAAAACCCACTGAAAGCGTCGAAGAATCTCCAAGGCCGTGATTGTGAAAACTGTCAGATAATTGTGGCGAAGATGGGAAGATAGTTTATACGTCCAAGTACAACGAAGGATAAGGTTGCTTCCAATTGCCCAAAAATAAACCTGCCATTATATAATTTTGTTCATAGATATAATTTTGCTCCTGCAGAAACATGACAATGACATAGATAGAAGYCTAGAACCTTACCCACTTCCGTCCATATAGCATGTTTGAGCATATGCGTGGCCTGTTGAACCTGAAAATCGGAGAGAAGATACTGCCCCCACCCCCCCAAACAGAAAAAAAGTTAGTTTGCAGACCATGGAAAAATTGTATCATATTAATCTGTAGTTACTTTACACTAATTTATGACTTGGACATTAATACATGCAAACGGCGTCTATCATTTGTCCAACACATAATATCTTTGGAACCAGCGACAAGCAATGCTGCCTTGATACATAGCATGGCTACTATGTATCCAGGTGCTTATGAGTGTTGGGCCCGTCAACCTAAGAAATTATTACAAGTAGATAAAAATTTTAAGAAACTTTAAAAATAAATTAAAGAAAAAATTGGAAACTTTTCTTTTCTGGATGTCTCCTTTCTACCATGTCCAAGAATATTGAGATTCTACCTTCTAACTTTAGCTTGGATCATCATCAATCTGTGATATTAAATATTTATATACCAAACCAAGTGTCAAGTGTTGGGTCTGGTTTTAAGCTGGCTGGGTAACAATCTAACATTTTCCATATGCTAACACGTAAGAAAGATTGCATACCTTAAGTCCCAGTCTTGGATCACATCCCAGTAAAATGAATAAAGTGAGTTTATAACACTTGAGAGAAGCCAAAGGGGGCGATAAATTTTTGTCCACCTATCAGGGAAGACATGATACTTCAGGGCTGACAGAAAAATCACTGGGACTGCCGTAAAATATTTTAAAGCTGAAAACCACATGCAAATAATGTCAAAACAGAAACATTGAGATGGAAAATCTATGTAATACAATTATAGGAAACACCAAGAGCTATCACAACACAACCAATTAACAAATAGTTGGGAATGTATGAGCAAATTCTACCTATTATGCAAAAGGAATTAATAATCTCCAAGTGTTGAAAAGAAAAATATTCCCTTATTAAAAATAAATTTTGAATTTAAATTTCCTAAATGAAAGGTGGTATATTTRCCCTTTTTTTTCTGTTAGGAAGTGGGAATGGGGGATAATTATAAATAAAGCGGAATAAGAAAAAAGTCCACAAATGTTCTTACCATTCAATAGGGTGGTCTCTTCTTTAGTATCTTTGTATTGTCGTAGACATTGGAATAAACGACATATATATGGCAAAACTAGCACCAAGGGGATGGCAATTGAGTGACTACCACATACAGAATCAGCTTCAAACCACGCAATTGTAGCAACCTGCATATAAAATGGCTGTCTTAGCGGAAAATAAATTATAAATCATTACAAACAAGAAATCACCCATATAGAGGTCAAACAGAAGTGAATTGGAGGATCCACTTGTAAGGAGCATATAAATTAATCAAAGCTTCAAAGAGAAAAAGTTATGACAAATTAAAGGGGAAAAGGGTGGGCTAGGCCATACAACATAGGAATAAACAGAGGATCACAAAAAACTTTATTTTATTTAGATTTATCTTTAAGCATACAGACAGACTTGATAAAAATGCTAACCTGTTGATGTACCATGTGGCAAACAGAACGCTCCAAATCCGAAAGAACCTGCATACGATTAACAATTGCATGATCCCCCTAAAAAAGAATAGAAACCACTAATAATTTGGAACCAGAATTTTAGTGCCACAACTAATTCTTTACAACGTTCTGATTGACAACTAGGACAAATCCCAGCAAGCAAACATTTAACAAGGGAGTGATATTAGCAATCTTTGTGCCAAAAGAGCTAAGATCTATATCAGAGTTTGAGAATATATAAAAGTAATTAAGCTATGTACTATAATACAAGATATGGTGCAAGATGTATACCTTTGCCATGGAAGTCAGGATATCCGCCACAAAAAAGTCAGAAAATGTTATTGCCTGTGTTCACCAGACATCCATTAAATTAAGTTATAAACACATGGCCCAAATAATCCTGAAGAGTTTCCTTTTCTTCCCCTTAGTTCTTATGGTACAAAAGTACTGTATTATGCCGGATTTACTTCTCAGAAAGGGTGATTCRACAGATCATATCTATCTATCTATCTATCTATCAAGAGAATTTATTAAAATCAGAAATAAACAAAGTATAAATACAGATTATTTGCATATTCACAGGAGTTTAGGACTTTTTAAAATTCCCTACATGTTTCCAACACAAGGTTTTAAAAGGCTAAAGGTGGAGGCGAGGCAGTTGGGTGCTAAAGAGGCGAGGCGTAAGCCTCGAGGCGGTTTGAGGTGTAAGCCTCAAACCAAAAACTTAAAAATTATAGAAACATAGAAAGAAATAAATAAGTAAAGCTTTATATAATTATTTGTGATTTATTTAATGTATCAATGGTCCAATAATCATTGATTGTGTGTTCAAATCTTTTCAAGATTACGTTAAGTCTAAAAAACACTAAAAATTCAGTTGTGATACAAGAGTCTATAATTAATTAATCATTAATCAAAATATAATTTGATTAGAAGTCTCAGGCTGGCCATTGAATTATCTAGGGTTGCCATTAGGAGATAACCCCAAGAGAGAGAGTTTCTGGAACCCAATGGTGGAAAGATTTGAAAAGAGACTTGTCTCTTGGAAAAAGAATTACCTTTCTCTTGGTGGAAGGACTACACTGATTAAGGCCACTCTAGCAAACTTACCCATTTATTTCCTGTCAGTGTTCAAAATCCCAGTAAAGGTTTCTAATAGATAGGAGAAGATGATGAGAGATTTCCTTTGGGAGCCGGGAGAGGAGAAGAGGGATCATAGAGTAAGCTGGGAGGTGGTGACCAGGAGTAAAAACTGTGGTGGTTTGGGCCTTGGGAACATTAGAAAAAGGAATATAGCCCTTCTGGGGAAGTGGTTGTGGAGGTTCCCACTGGAGTAGGAGAAACTATGGGCTAAAATAGTGGCAAGCATACATGGGCTGGAGCAAACTGGATGGGATGTTGAAATTCGAGCTAGGACTACAAGCGCTTCACCTTGGAAAGCCATTCATGATTTGTTGCCAGTCTTCTCCCCTCTTATCAGGTACAATTTGAATCCAGGTAACTCCATAAAATTTTATGCCCCCCTAAATGACCAGTTTCCTTCTTTGTATGCCCTATCTAATTTTAAAAATGAGCCAGTTTCTTCTTTCATTACCCCTTCCTCTTCCATTTCTGGGTTTGAGTGCAACTTGGGTTTAAGAAGGGCTATGAAAGACTCAGACCTTGACAGTATTTCGAGTCTCCTTGAACTTCTTGATAATATTTTCTTAGACCCTACTAAGGTGGACTCTAGAATCTGGATCCCCACCCCCACTAGCTCATTCTCCTATGCCTCTTTCTTCAGAGTTTTAAGCCAGTCCACCAGTCCTGTAGCCCTCCCTTTCCCTGTTAATGAGGTTTGGTGCAGAACAATTCCTCCTAGGGTTGGTAGTTTTTGCTAGGAAGCCTATTTGGAAAGATTCAACACTAGTGATCTGCTCCAAAAGAAGAGACCCAATACTTGTTTGTCACCTCACTGGTGTGTTCTCTGCAAAGCTGATGGGGAGACTGGTTTTCATCTACTAGTGTCTTGCCAATTTGCAAAGTCAATTTGGGAGTGGGCTTTCTCCCTCTTTGAGTGTAGTTGGAACCCTCCATCAAACGTGCAAAGTCTCTTCTCCCCTTCTTTTTTCAGGTGGCGTATGAAAAGGGGAAGGACTATGTGGAGAGGACCGAGGGCTGTGATATGCTGGTCTTTATAGGAAGAAAGAAACTCTAGGATTTTCTCAGAAGTAGAGAGAGGTGCTGAAGAACTAAGGGCTCTAATCCCTAGAGCTATTCACAAATTACACTGTGGATGACATGTCGAGGAAGTGGGGTGAGATTGCTAACTGTACCCAGACCAAAACAGTAATGAGTGTGTCTTGGACCCCCCCCCCCACCTGCTGGATTCCTAAAACTAAACTTTGATGGGAGTAGTAGAGGGAATTCCGGACACTCAGGGATTGGTGGTGTTTTTAGGGATGAGAATGGGGTTGTTTCTACCTTGTTATCAGGCCCAATTGGAGTGAGTGACCACCTCAGAGCTGAGATCTATGCAGTTATGGAAGGAGTCCAGAAAGCTAGGGAGATGAATATCAGAAAACTCATAATTGAAGGGGACTCGGAGGTGGTGGTAAGGTGGTTGAATAAAGACAACAGTGGCTTATGGAATTACAACAATGTGAGGAGGAAATTCAAGTGGCTGGTTCGAGAGATGGAAGTTAAGATTAGTTGGATTAAAAGATCAGCTAATTCTTTTGCTGATGGGTTAGCTAAACAAGGGGTGGAGAGGGAATCAATGTTTTGGGCTCAGATGTAATTTATTTTTTCTCTTTTTTTCTTTTCTTTTCTTGGGGGCTCAAGTTGTAATTGGAAGATAAGAAAGTTTGTCTTCCTCTTTGTAATTATTCTTATGATTAATTAATGAATTTGTTATTGATCAAAAAAATTAATCAAAATATAATTTTCCTAAGGAAGATCACAATAAAAATTGCATCAAGCTGACATTGAGCCACTAACATGGAGGCAATTATGTGGATTTCATAGCCAAGCACCCAAGAGCTCAGGTGATGACTCAAGCTTGCTCAATAAACAGAAAATAACATTACAAATTCTTGCTTTTTATTTGCTTTCTAATCTAGTAAGTAATAACTAAGTTTCAGTCTAGTGTAACTCATAAGCACACAAAAATTTAATGACATTCTAATTTAACCAACTGGGATAGTTGGTGTCAAATGTCAACAAACTGGAGATTGGATAATGGCCATAATATCTAAAGCACAATTTGGAATCCTTTTCCTTGGTATGAGGTTAGGGAACCRAGTATACTATGCATCAGAAATTGGCATCTAACAAAATGCCATGTGTCCCATCTCCAGTCTCCAGCTTATAAACCAGCTCAATGATTGAAGGGGGAAGGACGACTGACCTGTACGGATCTGATTTTGTTCCTTCCTCTTGATTCTTGAATCTTCAATGTTTTGCTCGAAGAAGCTAAACCACCACAGTGTTGAGAACTGAGAACACCCCTGAGTTCGGTCTTTCGATAATGGAGATTTGAGTTCGAAGAAGCCCTAAACTTTGGGACTTTTTGTGTTTTTTCACTTTTCTTTAATCGTTTTCCAATTTTACCCTCTATCAACTAAATTTTTCCCCACCCAAAAGTTTGTCAACTTGTGGCCCCCGCCTCACAAAAAATGAGGCGAAAGGATAAAGGCGTATGCCTCAGTCAAATTGAGGCCTACACCCTCTGTTTTGCAACAAAGGCTACTGTGGCCAGGCAAAATCTATTTGCCATGCCTTGAGGCATACACCTCTCACCTCGCCTTTTAAAACCATGTTCCAGAAGATGCCTTATGACAAAAGTAAACAATGCCAAATAAGGAATCATAGTATCTGTAACACTAGAACAGAAAAAAATAGAACCAAAATCATGGCAGGAAAAAATGAATATTTCCCAATCAATCTTTAAGTAAAGATTCAAAAAGAACCTAGCACAACTTGGCTATCTGGTAATACTCACATAAAGCAACCAGCGTATATATTTGTCTCTTATTTTTTGTTTTTTTGTCAAACATTGAAAACCAATGTCTATAAGGTAATTGAAGGTAACAAGGAAAATTTAACAAATCTCTACCAAAGTATGACTTACCTGTAATGGAAGTAGTATCCGACCAAGTGTCCTTAATAAGTAGTAGCGAGATGATAAATAAAATTTATCAAAAGGAAATATAAGAACCATTGTAACAGCAGCATACAAAAGTACCTGAAATAATTAGCATTAAAAGCTTTAATATGATTCATGCAACAAAACCAATGGAAGGACCACAAATTAGAATGCTCATGTAGCTTATTGCACAGTTTCTTAAAGCACAAGAATAAGAGTGGCAAAGTCATGGAAAATCTGGTTGCAGCATATAATGTACCTAAAGATTTTTTTTAGACTTGAGTTAAAATACATATCATGCTAATACATTTATATCGAACTTCTATGCTAAGTACATGGAATGGAGCCATAAGCAATCAAGTGAAATACAATCCACAAAATGATTTGATCTACAGATAGTATCATTGTAGTGAAAGTCATAATGCCGGAGAAACCATTAGCACAGAACCTAGGGGGAGGCCATAAGCATCTATACCGTAACATCAATTTATCAATATCTCTTGTTCAATGCCTTTTAACCACATATTAGCATCTAACATGTATGCTTACAAGAGTACTCAAAAAAAAAGGAAAAAAAATCAAAGAAAAAGTAACGCAGGTTTACCTTTGATAAAGGTTTGTTTGAAATAATGGCCTTTATATGCTTTAGTTCAATGATGTCAGAAATGCGGATGACAAGGAAGGAAAAGAATGGAAAAGTAATGCCAAGTGGCCCACAGGCTTAACTACATATTTCTGCAGAACAAGACCAAGAAGTGTTCAGGTGAAACTTAAGGCCTATTAGCTTAGGCCAATCCAGCTGAAAAATGCTATGGCCTAGCTGTGCAATTCATATGGCCCCCAAATAATATTTTGAAAAGATGTTCCAATGATATCCTTACAAGATACTTGCATAATCAAAATTTGTTTATGCCAGATTTACAGGGTTTGTTGCTTCATAATTTTGAACTTTGTGTTAATTTAGTTTCAAAATTAATTTAGGAATGAAAATATTTGATAGATCCCAAAAGATAATGTATCTTCAATCAAACCTTCACATAATATTCTTTTACTATAAATCGCACTGAACCGAACTGTGAACAGCCCCCACTCTTGGCTAAGAAACCCACCATTTTATTAATACATTCTAATGTACTAAAAAGAAATGTTCCAACCTTCCACAGGTTCCCTAATATGATACTTAGGCATGCCCCAATTGGATCATCTCATACTTCAGCCTGAATAAGTCACTTTCCACCATTAATATCTAACCCAAGGACTAATATTTAAAAAAATAACTTTAACTTTCTTGTAGTCCATGACCAAAAATTTAACTATAACTTTAAGATTGATGCACATGCACCCTTTAAGTAACTTCTAATTGGGATCATCCATAGTTGACAAGGCTTCACCTAGGTGTGTCTCGCCTGAACGCCTTGACTTATAGCAACGAGGCATCTACCTAGGCGATATAGGTTTTGCAATTAAAATTTAAAACATACAAGGGTTTTTGAGAAGAGAAAAGAAAGAGAAGGATAATGACGTTTCTTTTTTTCTAAAACAGCAGTTCCACCCCTGTTCTTTTCCTCTTTTACTCTATCTTAAATTTTTATCATATAAAATTATAGCCTTGTTTAGTTGCTAATTTGATATGAAATTGCTCTATTAAATACATAATATTAGTATTATTTTTGAAAATATTGAAATTAATATATTTAGAATACTATCATTTTTTATATATGATGATTTGCCATATTTTGAAAGGACACATAGCCCCTTTTTGGGAGCACTTATTTTAAGTGTTAGGATAACACAAAAAGCCCAAAATAAGCACTTATTTGAGAAATAAATGCTTAAAAAATAAGCCCAAATTTCAAGTTTTTTTACCTTAACTTAGGCCCCTTTGGGCCCACATCTTAACCCAATTTCAAGCATCGATTCTTTTTTACTGTCCCCTTCTACCCCTTTTAAATGAAACTTCATTTTTAGTTCTTCTGAATTTCACCTGGGCCCACTTGTCCCTTCCTCTCCCGTGACAACAATTACTTCTTTACCCTTTACCTTACACATTGGTTCGATTCCCCATTCTCCCTTGACCCTTCATCTCTCCCACTCCCTCTTACCTGTTACGTCTGTTTGTCTTCTCCGCTTCCCTTTTCCCCTGATTATGGCCTGCAACTCCCATCTCCCTCGTTGATCTGACCCCAAATATTGGGTCTTCTCCCTATGACAATTCTAATCTCAAACACTTCTCTTCCAAATAACAAATCAAAACACAAAGGAACAGACTGAGCATCCTCTGATTCCACCAAAACTTGTGCAAACTACAACTCATCCCATCTTCTATTTCAAAAACTGCATGGCCTTAACTTACCACATGCATCACCTATTGCTCTAAATGTCTGAGTACACTATGCATGAAGAGGAATCCCGAACACATTGATCCAATCATCCAAATGAAGCACTTTCCAGACATGTTCCTCACCTGTCCAACAAATGGAGACCATCTACCTAATCTCAGTTTTGGATAACGAGCTAGCACTTCTGCTTCACTCTTTGAAGCTTCCTTCTTAAACATAAGCAAAAATAATCATGTGCTCGATCTTCTAACTTTCCCAAAACCTTTATATCTCCATATATTCGAGGCTTACTTGTAGACACCACTCACGTCAAAATCTGAATCCAGGAATCTTCCAACTAAACATGATTTTAACGCTCCAATCTCTCTGCTACTTAACCGCAATCCTTCATTACAACATCTGAAAACTTCATATTGAAGAGCTAAACTGATGCACCATTTTCTTTTTTTTTTCCTACTACTCTTCTCTAAGATACAAGTATTACCCTAGAGTGATCAAAACTCTCTAGAGTTACAACCAGCCAACATAAAGAGAAAGAAAGGAGAGAACCATTTACCAGAGACTGTCCTGTTGTAACAATCCTCTTCCAGAGACTGTCTTGTTGTTCATTGAACCTCCAAAACCATTTACCCAGCAATAGCAACATTTACTTCACCTTTCTAATCCCCAAACCTCCATTCCTCTTAGGAACATACACATTCCTCCAATTCACTAGATGAAAATTTCCCTCATCTTTCCACAAACAGCTCTCATTTTCTTTTTAGTTGCATCTGCTTTGTCATTAATGATGGGATGGAGAAGAGAGACAGGAGGTACAGGGGAAAGGAGAAAAGAGCAGCCTTCACCAGTGTTAGTTTGCCTCCTATAATGTGCTTATACATTTTTTTCAGGAAGTAATGTCTTCTATGATCTACTGCAGATCTTATCCAGCATGACTAGCAGAACCAGATGAAGCTAAACTATCAGCATCACAGAAACATTTCCAAGAGTTCAACAGGACCTCATAACTCAGTTTCTGTAGCCTTATGTCTTTCCTTCTGACAGCACAAGTGCTGGACATGGGAGGAGCTTGCATGAAGGAGAACATATATGATATATGACAATCAAGCAGCTGGAATTGGTAATTATGGAGTCAGATTAGCTATTGGACCTTTTCATGTCTCCTAAAAGCTTACCTAACAACCAGCAAAGACATCTTCGGCAGTAGCCAGAGTGTGTATCAAGTTTCAAGTTGACTGCAGCATACTAGAACAAGGACAAATAAATCATGTTGAAACTTTACTATGAATATGATATTAACACTAAGGAGTTAACAGTCTAAGATTAAAAAAATAGTGACAAAAAGGAATTATTGGTAAGAGAGATGGCAGATATTACACTGGTTGTGATGCAGCCAATGACTCTTTTCCATTAGAGTAAAGGCAAAGGTATGCGGTCATGCTAGTCGGGACAATGATCGTCATCCATGTTGCACACTGCAAATATCAAAATGAACCATGGAAGTTAGGTTGATGATATGTTCTGTAAAAGTTGATTAAGTATTAAACTATCGGTATCTACAATAGGTCTGCATATTTACCAAGCAATAAAATGGCTTTTTGTCTTGGGGGTAGGTGGTAAATGTCTTCTGTAAGGTGTTTTACACCCCTTATGGCTTTTCCTTTTTACTGTTATAGGTCATAAGGTAATTTTACGTAGTGAGCACTTCAACAGGAAAAGCAGGCCATAATTTAGTTCCTTGAAACACCTTTTCATACTCAATTTCACACAAAAATATCAGACTGTTACATTTTTCTAAAAAGAGTTGGAAATGTGGTAATAGGAGATTGCTTTGAAAATGTTAATCTACACATCCTGGACGCTAAGGCCAGGACTTTCATCAAGTTACAATCCTTCTGCACCTTCTACAGGACAATATTTGTTTTTTTTGAAGGGCCCCAAAACCAGATTATTTCATCAGAACCAGATTACAGAATACAAGGGGCCCCAAAACCATAAAACCTGGGGCCAAGAAGCCAGAAAAATTACAGATAAAGGCTGCCAGCAATCAGCTGAGCTCCTAAAACCCTTGGATGAACCCCTAAGGCTACAGCATTCCAAGAGATTAGTTTTCCAACAATACAGGGCAACAGTTGATCCACAGTGTTGTGCTTATCCTGGAAAATTATTTTGTTTCTTTCAGCCCAAATGGTGCTAATCACTGCCCCAGGAATTGAGAGCCAGACACTTTTTCCTGACTTAGATAAGCCTCTCTGATCCCAGCACCATAAGAGATCCAGAACAGATGCAGGCATGGCCCAAGATAGCTGCCTAGAGGAGAAGAAGTGGTTCCAGATTTTGCTGGAGATAGGACAATGCAGAAATAGGTGGCTGCTGTCCTCCTCCCCTTGGTTGCATAACACACAAGAATAATCCTGCAACTGCATACCTCTCCTCTGCAGATTCTTCTTGGTAAGGCACTTGTCCAGAGCCACAGCCCAGATCAAAGCATTAAGCTTTGAAGGGACAGTCTGGTTCTGGACTTTATCAGCACCTTGATCAGTTGAAAGGATCCTGGCAAACGAAGAAACAGAAAACAGCCCATCTTTACCCCAAGACCATATCCAAGAATCTTCTTCTGATAAATCCAGAGATTGAGTAGATAACATCTCCAACAGCCCTGAGACTTGATCTAGTTCCCAGTCCTGGAAATTCCTTCTGAATGAGGGGCCCCAAAGACAAGTGTTGTTTCTAATCTCGTAGCAGTCAGCAACCAAGGCTTTTTGGTTTTCTGCCATTTGGAATAGCTGAGGGAACACCTCGGCAAGGGGTCTATTAGAGCACCACATATCCTTCCAGAACCTAATTCTCCAGCCATTCTCTAGCTTCACCAAAAGGCCATTACTCAATAATGGGAAGAATTCCATTACTTTCTTCCAAATCGAGCACCCAAAAGAGATCAAGGAATTGGTAGTAGCCCAGTCCCCGTTGTCTGAATTATACTTGGCTGCAATTAATCTCTTCCACCAGCTTCCTCTTTCTCTACCAAATCTCCAAATCTATTTCCCCAAAAGAGCCTTGTTGAAGACCTTCATTTTTCTGATCCCAAGTCCACCTTTGTCTTTTGGAGTACAAACTTGATCCCAGCTAACTAGGTGAATTTTCTTCTCTTCTTCCCACCCTTTCCATAAAAGGTCTTTCTACGTGCTCGTCTTCAGGTTTTTCGTTTACACAATACCAAATGAGCTTCCCGCAGATTGAAAGACATGCCAAAAAGATGTGCCAAACACCGCCTAAGCAACCAGACTTCCTATCTTTTTTTACAAGTAATGATAAACTTTATTAAATAAGCTAAGGTACCAGGTTTTACAAAGAGACTTCCCAAAAGAGAGGTGCAAGATGCAGCCTTAATTACAACAGTGGATAACAACTGAGCCCAAAAAAGATGATCCCTATGCACCCCTTGCTTAGCTTAGTTTGCTATCCCATTAGCCAATCTCCTTTCCCAAAGAAGTCTTACAGTCATATTTGTGGTGAGCCATTTAAATCTTTTCACCACTTCCCTGTAGGTCCAGATTACAGTGTCCAGATTCTTGGGCCACCCCACTATCAATTTAGAGTCCCCTTCAACTATGAATCTGTTGAAGTTCATCTCTCTAGCAATCTGTTGTTATATGTTTTTTTGSTACATAGAATTATATGGGTTTTTTTTTTAATGGGAAACATATGGTTTATTTTTATTCTAAAAAGTAACTTAGAAAATACTTAATTTAGTTCTAGAATCGATTTACCTCTTAAAAGTCTAACAGAACTTGCAAAGATGCCGAAAGTCCTTAGATTAGGGGAAAGGATCAGGAGGCTAAATCCATGGCAGCCAAAGGGGGCAACTCATTCTATTGGATTAAGAGATTTGCTGATAAGATGGCCAACTCTTTGGTCAGGAACAGAGTAGGTAATGGATGACTTCTATTGGGGTTTGGCCCTTCAAGGTCATATTTCTGAATACTTTGGAGTTGGCAGGGACAGGCCAATGGTGTTGAGTCTTTTAATTCTTTCTTGCTTGATCTAGTGTATCTTCTTTTTTTCTTATCTGTTTGTATTTATCTAATCAACATCCTTGGTCTGGTTATTATAAAAAAAGGTAACTGAGAATTTATTATGAATGTAAAAAAATGAAGGAATCCTCTTGCCTAAGGACAAAATATACAAAATACAAAGGCCTCACAAAGGGTCAAAAATCATCATATCCAGGAAGAAGGAACCCAAACCATCTGCTATCAAGTTAGCCTTTTTTTTAACCTGTAACTGAGATAACTTACGTTAAACCAAAACAAATTGCATACACCAGGCTTAAGATATACAATATCAAAGCCACTTTAAATGGAACATTTTGAAACCTTATTGTACATGAATTTCTACATAACAAATTAGAAAGTTGCTTTATCTGTTTGTTTGAATGGCAAAGGTGTATCTCTAGGCTATAAACAACACAAGGAAAGTTGGAGATCAAGCTATAATTCTCTACAGCCAGACAATCCAAAGGTTCAAAATTGAAATCTCGGTTAATTCCGATTCTTCAAGATGAACCAAACAGGCAAATGGCATCAATTGGAATCCGATTCCAATTCCTATTTGAACCAAACAGGTGGAGGAATAGGCCATTCCGAATCCGATTCTGACCACAAACGAAACAGACCCTCAGATCCAACCCTTGCATCCAATCATCAACCATCTAAAGCTCAACTATCAGCATAGATGGAACCTCAAAATTCTTCAGAATAACATGAAGCGTCAGCATTTGTTCCACAGAAGCACCAATTTAAATGAATGTGTTGTCTACATATAGAAAAAGGGGAAATGACCATGTCTGCATCTCCAAACTTGAATCCCTAGATTATCAAAGTCAACCTCTCTTTTCAACAAATTACATAGTTTTTTCTTTTATTTTCTTTTGGGATCATTTACCAGACCTAGGTCTGGTAAATGATGAAAATAGTTTTCTATACTATCATTTGTTTTACACTTGCACAAGAATAGAGTATTTTCACTGCATCTAGAAAATGGGAAAGGACAAAAGAAATTTGAAAAACAAAACAAAATGGGCAAAAATAGATCCTAAATTTACCCAATATTGAAAAACAAAAATCTTAAACAATCACAAGCAAGGAAGTTTCAAAGTTTTTTTTTTTATTTATAATTATCAGTAACCATAAGTACCTTAATATCCAAAGTGAGTGTAATAGTTTCAAAGTTTCACAGTCAATACCTTCCATATTTCTTTATGTGTTAGATGATTTTGATCCAAACCAAATATCTTTGTATGATTGACTCCAACCTGAGCAAAAGCCCATAGATTAATCCCCCACAGCCAAACCATCATAGTCTGCCACATTAAAAAGCCATAAGTAAGCTATGCAGTAAAAGACAATGAGAGATAAAGGTGAAAACTGCATATGTCCTTAAACTGTAAGAAGCCCACAGTACTTACCACAAGAAGGAGGGGATTGTAATATAAAAAAGCTTCATATAAGAATAGATGCTGCAAGTCCACACTCATTCTCATGACAGATTTCCAGCCAATCTGCAATTTTAGAAAAATGTACTCAACCAAAACTGCATTCATGATGACCAGTTCAAAGATCCCCCCACCCCAAAAAAAGAACCAGAGTATAAAGACTCTTCAAACATATAGAATCTGTATGATAACAGATGAAGTTGCTGAACTGAATGGCTTATTGATTGATCTTTTGCTGGATACAGTCATATAATGAAATACTTAGGGGTAATAGTAATCACCCCAACATGCCATTCACACATTTAAGGAGCACTAACAAGTAACAACCTACTTGATGACATATTCACTAAAAGACAAAGCAGTAAGTCATTCAGTTCAGTCACTTTAATTGTTGTCAAACAGCTCTAAATGTCAAGAACTGCTTGAATACCAATACCATATTACTTACAGGGAAAAGGAACTATAGCTGACCTTGCAACAAGTGAAACCCCAGATGAGAAATAGTAAAACCTGGAAGTTCAGTCTCAGTTAGGCCCAACAATACATGCATGCCTTTAAACAACTGAATATCCATACAAAATATGATTCACTTATAGATCCGATATGACTCTGCAAGTAAAGCAGATAAACTTAGGAGGCTTTATTGGAAGGATAGGGCAAAACGAGAAAACCACAATTAAAGGGGCAACGACATTAGTTCCTTTACATAAGAAGATAAAGGATTCATTATATATCGAGAGAAGAAAGCTTCTAGTCTTATTAGTTAGGTACTGCATGGTCATGGCAAGTGAAGTAGCACTGAATTATAACAAAACCTCCTAACAAGAGGATGTTTCAGTAAGGTATTTCCATGGAATTTCAAAAATGTAGGTAGAAAATGAATGAAGCATATGAACAGTCAAAAGAGTGAAGATTGCTTAGCTGCTAACATTAATGTTAATGTTAGCCTCTTGAGATAATTAGATCAAAGGAAATCAACTAACAATGTTAATGCCTTCTGCTCAGGTGCATTGTGCCTCACAAAAATACCAGTCGTTTATTGGACCTTAATATATTCAAGTGAACACCTCCTGATAGAAAAATGATAACAAAAAATCCAAACAGAGTTCTCAGCATATACCGTAGGAACTGAGGAACCAAACCTTGAATCTCCATAAAAAAATTGGTGGTGGCATCATTGCATCAGTGTGCATTGAAGAACTTGTATTCTTTTCAGATGATTCTATGGAATTCAAAGAGCCTTCTTCCACGTTATATCCATTGTCACTAGGACCTAAATCAAGCTCCACCACATTAGGGAAGCAAATGAAATGTTCACAAAATGCAATAGAAAGAGATACATCCGTTTGACGTTCATAGATGATAGAACCAAAAGCCTTCATTACCAAGGTCAGAGAAAACCGGACTGCTACCGGAACGTCGTAGAAGAGGACTACTATTAGAAGGGATCGTTATGGGTCTCCCGAACATGGTACTACGTCTCCCTATGAACCATTTACCATTATAACTTGCATGAATGATCTCAAAACCAACGAGAGACGAAAATCCCAGATAACGGGAAAACATAATACAAATCCAAATGAACTTGCAGAAATTATCAAGAGCTTAATTACCGGGTTTGTCAGACAAGCGTCGCATTGTCTGTACTTGGACTTCCCTGGTTGGCCGGCTCCCGTAAGAAGTCGCATGAGTTCGTCGGATATCAGGGGAGCACCAGGGCAGAGTGTGGGAACAGAGAGAGATCAAAAGCATGGTTGGAATGTTGGATCAGTGAATAGGGTTCTTAGAATCCAGGAGTTTACTTAAGTTCAAGCATTCCACACACAACACATGACATTGCCCGCCAAAAAGGCGAAAGCGAGGACCAGTAATGCAACTTGCGAGTCTTCTTCTTACGTCGAGGTCGGGACGACGAGGAAAGGTCGCTTGGTTCAAATCCAATGGCTCTGCTCGGCGGCCGCCAAGGTCACTGACTCACTGGGTAGGAATGGCAACGGGGCGGGGTTTGAAATGCCCCGTCCCCGACTCCGACTCCGAACATTCAAACGTGTAACTGCAGTATTTAAACTTATTAAATTGATATAAAACGTGAAATATCATGTAAAAAATAAATAAAAATATCTTTCACTTATTATCTAATTTTCTTATAATTGATATCCAATCTCTAACCAGTATTTATATTAATACAAAAATGATAAAATAATTTTTTATTGGCAACAATGCTCATTCGCTGAAGATAGAAATATCGGCCAACTAAACAAAGGATTTTTCTAGCTCATTCAAACGAAGAAAAATGTTAGATCTCAATTGCAAAGCTTAATGAGTTTTAATTAAGGGGAGAAATTTTCAATATCATGCAAATCGAATGGAAAAAATAAATATTCCAAGTCATCAGCATTTGCATTTTGACGATCAATTCAGTTAGTTCTCGGAAAAAGAAAATGACTCAAACCCAGTATTTCCTTAATTCTAACCATGATAAAATATTAAAATGTAAAAGATGAGGCATGCTACTGATGAAAATTGCTTTTAATACTAAAAATAAATAGGTACAGAGTTCTTCCTATTATCCCCCAAAAGCAAACAAATAAACATATCACAAACTTATGTTGAATTCATTGAAGAAATACAAAGAATTAAACACAAGGCAGAAGGGAAATGTGATTGTATGAAGAGTACCAATTTGAAGCATCATGTACATAGATCATATTGCAGAACTTCATCTACCTGAAAAGGAGATTATGGCCCTCGTCTCCTCTTGAGCATTGATATTGAATTATACTAGGGTATGGAAGTTCATTCTGCCAAGTCTTCTGTCGTATTTGAAGTAAAGTCAAGACAAATGAAGGGAAGTAGGAAAAGTGGCTGAGTTGATGATGTCCCACTAAACAAAGGAATTTATTTATTTATTCAGTTGATTTTGATTTATTTTTAATTTACAGCTTTAATTGATAGGTTTTTCTTCTTGAATGATCTTGTAATAATTTAGGGCCCATGAAAGAATTGAGAAAGATCCTATCAAAACGGTATTAGAGGTTTGTGGAATTCTTTGATGTTAGAGATGCAACTAGAGCTCTCATAAATGAACAAAGGGAAATCGATGACAAGAATATAATAATTGAACTTAGTTGTCCTGATGGTCATGGAAGAAGGTTATTGAATGTTGTTGCTACCAATGCCACTAGTAATGTTAGCAAAAACCATCACTAAGCACCTCAACTGGTTCAATCTCAGAGAGAAAACAATGAACAATGTCTTCTTTTGAAGAATAATTTTGATATTTTTAAAAACTTTAAGTTGCACATGTCATCACATGATCAGATAAACTAACGGTCAGTTAACGACAAGAACCAACTTAACACTTTTTGAAAGTTTGGGTACTGCAGTGACACTTTTATAAGTTTTAAATATTAACTTGACACTATCTCCAAAGTTCATCAGGATACTAATTAAAGTGAAATTTTCCAAATATTTATAGAGATTTTTATTGTTCAACCCACTCATTAAAACTTTAGTACAAGTGAAAGTTGGAACACTATTAAATGGGGAATGCATGAATTTGTGCAAAACGTACAAAATTCCTCTGGCCCACTCATTAAAACTTTAATTCTTCTTCAAAGAGGCGCAAGAGGGCTAGTGGTTATTTGGAAGCAGGATATTGAGATATGCTTTCGTAGGAATTAATTCCTTATCTGATACTGGATCTTGGCTTATTGGTTTCATTTATGRCCCTTCTATAAAAACTCATAGAAATATAGAAATAGATTTTTTATCAACTTAAAAAACTAGCTTAAGACGATTAATTTGCATTATGTTTGTATAGAAGATTTTAATGGAACTGGTGTTATTGAAATCCTTGATCCTAACTCATCTAATGCAGTCATCCAGAATACTTCTAGGGAGTATAAAAACCTTGTGTTAGAACTAAGGGTGTCAATGGATCGGTTTTGGATTGGACCCCGTCTTATCCAAAATTAATTTGGATGGATTGGACGGACCAACAAGATATGTTGGATTGGACCAATCCAGTCCAAAATATTTATCAGATTGGATTGGACTTGGTCCATTCGTAACAAATTTATATTGAATTGGGTTGGATTAAGCCAATATCTAGTCCATTGATGGACCGAATTTGGGTTGAAACCAATCTAAATCAAAATGAATTTGAACAGATTTAACGGTACAAATATTGAATTGGACCAATCCAAATTGATCCAAAACATTCATTGGATTGGATTAGACCTGGTCCATTTATAATAGATTCACATTAGACTGAACCAAATCCAGTCCAATTGACACCCCTAATTAGAACTTAATTTAATTGAAATTGGAATTAGGGGAGGCGGGCGGTCTTTCGTGGTCAAATAAAAGAAAGGCAGGGCCTTGTATGAATTAAAGGCTAAACTAGGTAATCTTCGGTGGGGTTCTGACCATCACCTATTGTTATGGAATATCCCAAATTTTTCAATTTTTTTGAGATGTGGATGCAACATCAGGAGTGCAAAAATATCAAATCTGAAGTCTATGTGTTTAAGGTTACGCGACTTCCATGATATCCCTGAAATTGGATAGAATAAAAAAAAAAAAAAATCTCCAACAACAGAATAAAGCGGTGTTTAGAGATCCTCAAATTAAATTAAGGGAAGTATAAGACCAAATAATATTATTAGAACAATCAAATCCAATAGACAATGCCCAACTCAATCCCCCTTACAAACGGTTTGAGGATCTTTCCAGTGAGTTTACATCTGCGCCCCGCAACAATGCCCTACAGAACATCCCGGCCTTGTATTAGAAATACCTTTCAATGATGTCTCATCATTTTCTGTATTTGTCATCAGGAGATATTTCCAATACAAGGCTGGGATGTGCTGTGGGGTGCCCCCTTGAGGTGAAGAGGTGAAGTCCTTTCTAGTTAAGTTGAAAGTTTTTTGATAAAAAATCCTGACAACTATGGCGGTGTTTGGTATCGATGCCGTTGCTCCAGAAAACGGTGACACGTCAGCACCACTTTGGAAAAATTGGTTTTCTAAAAAACGGTAACATGTTTGGAACCATTTTTCCATAAAAACGGTGTTCCAAACCACACCTTAGAAATCAAAAAGGTATGGTTTGGGGAAATGCTGAATTCGACATTTTCTTAGTTTGGAGCTCGTTGCTATCAACGAGGACATGATGTGGACTTCCTATAATGGGTATCAGTGCTGAAAATAGATATGGAGCATACCAAACATAAGTTGTTGTTGTTGCCCCAATAAACGTACTACCTGACAGCAACGTTTCCAAAAAAAAAAGACATCATTTTCTCAAAAAACAGTGTTGTATATGCAGCATTGATGCCAAACCTATACATACTATAATTGCATCTAGGGCTTGGTTTAGAAAGAATACAAATACAAATATGTAGAGTGCAAAACATTACATTTTATATTATTTTATATGTATTTGTATGATATATATATATATATATATATATATTTTTCATTTGTACTCTTTCCAAACTGAGCTTAGGGAACAAAAATACAATTACTTTTACGAGAGTATATACTATTTTGTCAGAAGATATATACTATTGATGGTATAAAAACTGACCAATATAATTGAGTTACTAAACAAATAGGACAAACTTTTGTGGATTACTTCTTTAATCTTTTCTCCTCTCAGGATGATGTAGGTGTTTCTTCTGTTAGCCAGTTATCCAACTCTGTCTTAACCGATGAAGATAATAACATACTCCTAGCCATTCCCTCAAAGGAAGAGACCAGTTAAGAAAGCTCTTTTCACTATATAGAGTCTTAAAGCTCCTAGTCATAATCACATGCCTACTATAGTCTATAAAGAATGTTGGAATGTTATGGGCAAAAAACTCGATGCAGTTTACTCAATAGTAGGGGTGGCCACGAGCCGAGTTTTTCATGAGCTATTCAAGCTCGACTTAGTTTCAACCAAGCTTTGAGCTGAGCTTGAGCCTAATAAAGTTCGTCTCGTGAGCCGAGCTCAAATAGCTACATAATAATAATAATAATAATAATAATAATAATAATAATAATAATAATAATAATAATAATAATAATAGAAAATAATATATAATAAATATTTTTATTTTTTATATATAATAATAACTAATTATTATAATTCTTAATTTTTAAATATCAAATAAAAAAATTATATATAATTTTTTTTATTTTTATAAAACATTTTTTCTCAAGTCGAGCTCGAATCGAGCCAAGCTCAAGCCTCGTACAACCTTGGCAAGCCGAGCTCGAATAACTAACTATTCGACTCAGCTCGGCTCAAATCCACCCCTACTCAATAGTTCTTTTTGAACAAATGAATTATACGTTCATTTGTCTCATTCCCCAAAAAGTGGAATGCTCCAAAGTTCATGACTACAGACTTTTTAGCCTCTGGCAATGTCTTTTATAAACTCCTGGTCAAGATTATTGCCTCTAGACTCCGTAGCCTCTTAGAGAAGTGTATAGCCCCTACTCAGGCTGCTTTTGTCTCAAGCAAACGGATGATGGACAATGTTAATGACACATAAGCTTGTTCATTATCTGAAGAGTCATATGAGAGGATGTGGTTTTTGTGGGTCTAAAACTAGCTAGATATGTCAAAAGGCTAAGATATGATAGAATGGCCCTATCTTATAGCTGTCCTAAAGGTGTTAGGATTTTCTCCTGGATGTTGTCAACTAGTCCTTGAATGTCTTTTCACAATCTCCTTTTCTGTGCTAATTAATGACACTCCTTAAGGGCCACTTCTCCCTATCCAGAGGTTTGAGGCGGTAAGGGAATCCCATGTCTCCTTATTTATTTATCCTAGTTATGKAAGGGCTGTCAAGGACCTTGTTGAAGGTTGAATAGGAGGACAAATCAAAGGAATCCAAGTTCCACACTCAGCTCCCTCAATTTCTCGCCTTTTCTTCACCGGTAATATCATGCTGTTCCTTTAAGCCCATAGGGAAGTTTTGGAGTTTGGACAATCTTGAAAACATGTTGCAAAGCTTCCAAGTGA